TAGAATTTTATTTATAGTATCTCTACTCATTGACATTCCACTGGGCCGTTAAAATCTTTCACAAGCATACCTTTTATATGACACAAAAAAGTAGCTTCCCTTAAATTCTCCCCAAGACCAGCAAGAGTCCTAGTTGCTAATGCCTTCATAATATTGTCTATTATTCATTCTGTAAATCATCTGCTCATCAGTCCTTATGAGCTCAGGTTTTCTTTCGCCCCGGCCCTTCCAATCGACTAGCTGTTTCCATACGGCTGGCTGCTTACAACTTGTCCAAGCGGCTGATCAGCTGGTCGGCATTTGTCCCAGCCGAGTCCGTTTGGTTCTCAAGCCTGATGGTCAAAGCTTTCGGTTTATCGCCAATCTTAGTTGCTCTACGCCACCAAGATCTTATCCAACCCTCTCTCTTCGTGTTGCTAGCTTTTCGTCCTGTTCTTCAGTCCCAGATTTGACAAACTCTCCAGCCGTGTCCGGAGCTGCTCCTTCTGTTCAACTGCAGGGTCAGCCCATTTCCCCGTCTCTACGATGGATAAGCTTAAATAGTTTCCTGCGGACCCCTAATGGGCTATTTGAGTTTCTTCAGCGGCTCCGGGCTGAGGTTGGTTATTCAGACTATTCGTTGGATTATATATCTCATTCTTCATCTGGCATCCAAGCAAGGTAAGGGAGCCAATCTTTATTAAGTCATTTAAAGCGGAGCTTAAAACTGTTGATCGCTTGAATTTCATTAATTACAGACCTTCGAATGCTGTAATTTAGGTCTTTTACGGAAGCAATAGCAAGTCAGCTAATGTTGCTTTTCGCATTCTTACGACTTTGAATGTATGAAGACCAAGATGGCGGGACCTTTAGTATAGAAGTTGTTTGACCTTGTTTTCGCAACCTGATGATATTGATAGGAAGACTTAGAGGAACACACCTTGCCTGGAGTCCATAGTATCTATGATAATTTCCGGAGTTGGACCGTGGACTTAGTACATTCTCAGACGTTTCGCCAGCATCTTAGTCGACTACCAACTAGAAGGCCATACCTTTATATCTACTATCAAATATGTAAAATTTAACTGATGGTGCTGATTACCATATTCTGAATATATTTGACATTCTTTCGAATAGAAAATTGGATTATAAAAGTCTATCTGGTTTCATTGGTTTAATAACTTTGTTCTTCGAAGCTTCATTGTAATATATCCAAGTTTCGATGTTGAGTGCAAAATAAATCGCAAATTCTTCGCTGTCTGTTACTACAGCTTTTCGCAATGTCCTTTCTTTTGCAGTTACCTTCAGTATTCGATCCTTCCCTCATGAGTGTGGAGTTGGCCTTTGAAAAACTAGTGACTTTTAGACGCATGACCTTGGCAGCTGGATTTAAAAGGTTTATTCATTCTCATTTTTTAACCCTAACTAGAAACCTTGATTTTGTTCTTATCACATTACTGATTAAACTTAAGTAGCATATTGTCGCATATGTAATTAATTAAAGTGCAAATTGTGATTAAGTAGGTTAGGTCATATTAAGAACAACAATAAATAATACAAACAGACCAAGCTAACAATCGCTTGCATCTTGCATGCCCAATAGATTCCATGCACCTAGGCTTTTCATAGGTCACTCAGCCAGCAACCGAAATAGAATATGCTAGAGCCGGTATTCGGTCTTTAGTGTTACAAGGACGGCATGGGCCGTTTCTAAAATATAATACGCTTAATCCCTACACCTCCATATTTGGAAGCCCCAAAGCGAAGAGAGAAAAGGAAAAATAGTATTACTAATTGTCCTATTTACAAACGACTGAATACGGTATTGGGGGCCGGCTTCAACAAAAAGACAATCATTGAAAGGCGACGCGAAATAAGAAAATATGAATTACGTAGATCACAGCGGGGAGTAGAAGGAGTATGAAGAAAATGGGACCAATCTAAGCAGGATATTAGCTATTGTGGTATGATTCTTTATTTCGAAGGGAAACTTAGTTAGAAGGAATTTGTGATATGGTCTCATCGGAAACCAAAGGAGGATTTCCACGTAGGGAAGACTGATGAATTGTACGAAGAAGTCCTCGGCTCACCGTGCCGCGACCACAATGAAACTGTGCTAAGCTTTGGTCTTTATTGTCACAGACATCATCAGAGCAAGATCCAATAATTTACGAAATAGAGCAAAAATATAGTGTTAATTTCTCTTTATACATTTTTTTAATGTTCTATTTCCTCAGTAGATCACACAATTTTTTTTTAAGATGACTGGAGGGCAAAATAAGGAACGGAGTAGAGTTGTCCACTTATCTATCCCGCACCTGATAGCAAACTTATACCAAACCTGTTAACTACAATTGATATGTAATAGTCTACTAATCCTAATGGGTAATTGTTTTAAAGCAGTATATCCCTCAATCTACCAATCTCCTGGTTCCTGTGCTTTGCTTCTACTAGACGCAGATTCCTTATTAGCATAGACTTCATAACTCATATTTTTATTCTATATGTATGGTTCGAGGAAAAATTAATAAGGAAACCTGCGTGCATGGGCTTCCTATATACTCCTCTACCTAACTTATTACATTATTTGCTCTTTAATAGATCCAAAAAGGAAATTTATTTTCCTTTTCTAATAACATGGTAAACTTAATATTTGCATCTATTCTATTTATTAGCTCAAGGAATTCCCCTAAACCATGTTTGCCTTGTTGCCAAACAGCAAATTAATCGTCTATATAGCGAATTAATAACTTTAAAACTAGGAGTGTCTCCTGAAATACGCGAATTTATACTTGGGTCATGTGGTTATTAGCTAAAATTATGGCTAAACAGGATCCCATAGGCAAACCCGTGTCTGCTCATATAACTCAACATTGAAGGCAAAATACGTATTATAAATTGCCAAATTGACTTATCTAATTATTGAACCTTTTATTAGCTTTTTGCCTGTTGCGATTTCAGTGTGTTGATCTAGAATTAATTATAACACTTTCATTGCTTCGTTTATCGGAATGTTAGTGTGTCTAGAAAATACATCAATATGTGCCAGCAAATATCCTCTTATTATCGTCTGATAATCAATTAACTTAATAAAATCACAGAAGTTTTTTACTGAAAACTTCCAAGTTTCGGAAATTTTGTTTAACTGAGTACATATGAATCGTGATGTGTTATGCATCACGCTACCTCCACTGTTTACAATAATCTTAAAGGAAGTACCTTGCTTATGGATTTTGGGCAGACTATATGCCTTTGGGGGTCTAGCATCTCGCTGGAGAAGTGCCTTAATTTTCTACTATTCCAGTTCTCCATTGTTTACACATTATTGCAGAAGATCCATAATTCTGACCGTAAAGCCTTCTGTTGAGTCCCTAATTATAATCTTATATGTTGTATAATCATCTAACGCCTCTAATATTTTCTCTACATAATCAGTCTTACCCATAACCACTATTGCTCCTCCTTTGTCTGCCCTTTATCCGAGTTCCTACTTCATATACCCTTGCGTAGTTTTCCATGTCAACTTCTGATTGGTCGACGCGAAATAAATAGCGATTAGTCATGCACTCACGTGATGTCTGTGCCCAATGTGTTGAGCCATTGTTATGCATAGAATCTAAAAAAAAAATGGAATGGAAAAAGTGTAGGAATAGGTCACTGCAGGTCGTTAGGATAAAGCGGCATTTATAATTTCATCGTACCTTGTTCAGATTCGCTGCTTTGATAGCGGACCCAAGTCAGAAATTGTGAAGAATGTCATAGCCAGAATACCACTAGCCATATCACAAAGTAACCACTAAAAATCTCGCTAAAGTTTTAATGAATCTGTTTGGATGCCTTCATAAATTAAAAACTTTTAACTTTATTTTGTAAATTGTCATCTTACACTTATTTATAAATCATCTAGGTTTTGGCTAATCAAGCTTGACATAATGGAATTTTTCGATCGCATTAATCAAGAAAAGTTGAAGACAATCTTTCAAGAACTAACACTTCTCGTGAGTTGCTTATTATCCTAAAATTCATACCTAAACGCCAATTTATTTCAGACTTGCATTTTATCATTGTATCAGGGTCGTCCAAGTAGAAGATTACTGTCAGTCTTTAAGTCTCTTCACTTAGCTACTATATTTCTGCCTTCTTGCATTCTGTTCAGATATCACTTTACCTCTTATTTTTAGGTTGATCTTTCTCTTATATCTATAGACTTTCTGAAGAGTCCCATTTTCTCTCGACAAATGCAATTCTTATTGAATAACTCATGACAATATAGTTATACTAACAGACGATACCA